ATAATAACGCTTAGTGAGGCAATTTAACCTACAAATAACAAAATACAAAATTTAAAAATATGGGAAATCTTTTAATAGATCATAAGCATGTTCGTATGGAAAATCAACCCCGTTATTTGTGTGTTTGTATTCTACCCTTGCCAGCTGCAACATTACTTGTTCGTTTCCATCCAATAATTCCTTGTCGATCTTGTGATAAATTTTGATAAAATTATTCACCTTTGATTGTATGTCTAGAAACTTAGTCTTCACTTCTTGTTCAGTTTGATACTCTCGAACATATAACTTAAAGTGAAACATATTTTTCAATCGGGCCTAACGTGTAACATCTGAAATCTTGAGGAGCAATTGTAAGGAATGAATTCCATTTTGAGGACTGAACACGACGTGTTGGAGGAACCAACACGACGTGTCTAGTTAAGGAAAAGTGCGGTTCTCATTAAGGTCAACACGACGTGTTGACGTCTAAACACGGAGTGTTGGAAGCTGGGAAGAAAACCCTAATTTTTAGGATGATGCACCCTATATAATCTCTTTAATCCCCAAGGGCTGGTCTCCTTACCATCCTCCATTGACACTAAAACCATAAAATCGATCTTTAAGTCTCTTGTTGGTGTTCTTGAGCTAGTATGAAGTCATTGGTGCTCATTTTTGGTCTTTGTGAAGGAAGAGGAGATATTGAAGTTGCATTGTTTGGGGAAAAGGCTTTAGATCCAGAATCATCATCTTGTGAGGAAGCTTTCTGAGGTATCAAGTTTGAATCTTGTCTTGTATATGTTTAGATCTCTTCTTTTGTGATTTTTTGTGCTTTTGGTCCCTTTTTGGGTTGAGGAAAGAGTGAAGACATTTAAGGGTTTGTTATTCCAGATCTGAGTTTGTTTTGGTCCCTTTGAGCACAAAGGTGAAAGCTTTATGAGATAATTGGTTACATGCATATGTTAACTCCCTAATTAATCCTTTTTAAGATTAAGAGCTTCATTTAGACATGCATGAACATAAAGTTGGCAACTTTACATGGTTTTCCAGCTCAAGGAAGTCAGGTCTATGTCGCGGGGTTATGTCTTCAAGGATCAAGTGCTTATTGGTTAAGCCATTGCTTGATCAAGCCTTAATTGGTTAGGTTTGGACACTTTCTGTAATCCCTATGGGTAAAGATGGAAACTTTACCCTTCTAAGTCTCATTTTGGTCTAGATTTGAACTTTGGAGCTCTTGGAATTGGAGATAGTAGCTCAATGTATTAAGCAGTGGAAACTCGGGAAACACGGCGTGTTTACAAGCCAACACGACGTGTTGGCTGGGGTTTTCCCGATTATTTGGAGGATGGAAGAACACGACGTGTTTGGTCAACATGGACTGTTGACTTCGACTTTGACCAGAAGTTTGATCAGGGTTGACCATGGGATGTTTTGGGCCATGTTTGGGCCTTTTGGATTGTTGAATTGGGTTTTGTCTTTGGGGGCCAAGTTATAGAGAGGGTAAAAAGGTATTTTACCCTATTAAGGACATGTAGTATGGGTCTGATCCGATTTTTGATGGATGTTTAACTTATGATTGATAGCGCGGGGATCTGTCAAGCCAGCAGCCAGGGATTATCTGATTGATTCGGCAGTGTGAGGTGAGTTTCCTCACGATGTTCAGCGGGTCGAAGGCACCAATGTCGGCCCATGGTTTGCTATTTAGGATGATAGATGCCTGTGTGGCACCTTTCATGTGTATGCGCTTGTATGCTTATTGGGCGGGGCCCGATGGTTATTATGTATTTGGTTATGCATATATGATTTGTATGTGGGCGGGGCCCGATGATTGTACATCATGCTATTATCTTTGTGATTTTCGCATGTGTTTGAATGTTTATATGGTTATATGGTCATGTGAGTGTGGGCGGGGCCCGTTATGTTGGATTAGGTGTCTAAGCCCATAACTATAATTGGTATGTACTTGAACTGATAGTAGCACAGTTCTTTTGTGTTGCCTTCATACTAGCAACCAGACAGGATGAGCTTTTGAGAAAGAGGGATAATTTATTATTTGGAATAATAAATTAATATATAAAATGATTTATTAATGTATTATGAAAATAATATATTAATTACAAATCATGTTATTTAATTAATATTTAATCAGAAATTAATTTGGAATTTATTTTTGGATTAAAGGAATTAATTAAAAGTTCAGGGGCTTATTAGCAATTAACTAATAGTTATGATTTTGGGCTCTTTGACCACCCTAGAAGGGTTGGACAAAAACTTCTAGGGAGGCCCTAGAATTTTCGTCCAAGGCCTTAGGGATGGGGAGTCTATGGGCTGCTTAGGCCTTAAGCTGGAAATTAGTGTTCCTCTAGCAAATCCTAGCTTTGGCTCTAAGAAACCAACAACTATTTAAAGAGCCTCAACCATATGGATTTCGGCTATGCCATAAAACCCTAAGGATAGCCGAAATCTTGAAGCATCTTCCACATATCTCCTCTCATCCTCTTGCATAGTGTGTTTGTGAGCCATTAGAGGTGTTACCCTTGTGACACTTGTTCTCAAAGTTCAAGATCTTCAAGGAATCCATTGTTATTACAACATAACAAAAAAGGTGTGTATTCTAACCCTTGGCTTGTCAATTTCGAAAATTCTAGTTATCTCCTAGGGTTTATTGTTTTGTGTTCAATGCTTGTATGTCTAATAGAGCAATATATTAGGGTTGCATGCACACATAGGATTGTTTGCTATGCTCAAAACCCATCAGTGGTATCAGAGCTTTTGGTTTTTGTTTTCAATTAGATATGATGCAATTGATTGAACTTCACAAAATTAGGGTTTATGGCAATTAAACCCTAGGCCTTATAATTTTCGCAAATTAGGGTTTCATAACCCTGGTTTTCGAAAATTTGCTAAGGGTTTTTAACCCTTTCCTTTGGCCTCCTGAATTTCGAGATCTAGGGTTTCCCAACCCTAGGGTTTTTCAAAATTAAGGCAAGGATTGAAATCCTTGCCTTCCACCCAAAGTCATGATTTCAAAAATTGGATAGAGTTGTTAATTTTGGTAATTATCTTCTTAATTGCTTAATTAGATAACTAAAGATTTTTTGAAATATCCATCTCATATTTTCGAGATTTAGGGGATAAAGGATTAGGTGAAATTAATTTGTTTAATTTAATGGATAATCCTTAAATGATTTAATAAATTAATTAAAGGGTAATTAATAGATAATTATTAAATCAAAGTTTTTGAATTTTAAAATTTAAATTAAAATTGTTTTCAATTTTCGAAATTTTAATAGATTTAAAAAACCCTAGTATTTTGAAATGTTTAAAATACACCCTTATACTATATGTAAAATTAAAAGGTTAATATTTACTATATGTATAAGACAAGTCAGTCGAACCGCTAGTACGCCTCATTCGCGAAGCCAATCTATAAGGGGAGTTTAAGGAAGTGGTCTATAATATGACCGTCATTGGGTATCCACTCTTACCCACCGCTACCTTGATTGGTGGAGGGTCGTTAGCCGAACGGGTTTGATAGGACACTTAATTCTCATTAATAAGTATAATGGAATAAATAAAGTAACTAAATGTTTTTAATAAATTCTCAATCTTAGTTACTTTAGGAAAATGTGAATTTGATGCTAGTCCATGAAATTGCACATTGCACTTTATATAAGTCGTTAGTGGAGTGTGTGTGGTTAACCGGCACACTAATACGGACTAATAAAGTGTGGCAATGGGTGTCTCGTAAATTATCATTGATTAATGGAGCGTGTGTGGCTAACCGGCACATTAATTAGGTGTTAAATGACATCGAGAGTACCATGCTAATTTGCATGGTTATTCACATCTTGTTTGTGATCCTCGGTATCCCAATCGCAAATGGAAGAACATAATCAATATTAAACATGCCATTGAATAGTTCATTGAATCTCAAAAGTTCTAGGAATTCATTTAAAACCTAATTCATTCAAATTTCATTTTTCATGGTGAAATTGGTAAATCATCATTTACCTACCTTTAAATAATTTACAATTAGATTACAACATCCCTCTTCTGAATTATAAATTATTTAGTTGGATCATTGCCTTGATATTTCATTTGGGTGTTATATTAAGGATTTTCTTATCTAATCAAAACTTGTCCTTCTTTTTCAAATGTCAACATCCATCAATTCTTCTGGTTCCTCCAACTCCTCCAACCACTTCTCGCTCTTGAGCATCTGCTCAAAAGTCACCTTTGATGGCACCCGTTATAATGATTGGATACTAAACATCAATATGGCTTTACGCTTCGAGGATAAGGAATATGTGCTCGAAAAGGATCTGAAGGAGATTGATGAAACAAAAGCTACTCCTGAAGCAATAGTTGTGTATAGGAGACATTGCAATGATGCTACCAAAGTGGCATGCATCATGGTAGCTACTATGACTCTTGAGTTACAAAGGTTCTATGAGGATTACTGGACGTATGAGATGAACAAGGATTTGATGGAAAAGTACCATCAACGAGCTTGACAAGAGAGATACGAGATAGTAAAGTCCCGCATTACCAACAAGATGAGGAATTGGCTATTGACATAGTCTTGCACTCATTGCCTACCTGTTATGATTAGTTCGTCATGACTTATCATTTAAACAAGGAGGAAACCACATTGAGTCAACTTCAAAGCCTGTTGAGAACTACTGATAGTGGAATGAAGGGAAAGAGTATTGCCTCCACTCATACTGTTGTTTCTCCCATCTTGACCATTGGGCAAGGGAAGGGGAAGAAGAGGAAAGCTCCTCAAAAACATAATTGGAAGGGAAAGTCCCAAGCGGGGTCCTCAAGAAATTATTGCACTATCCTAGACTGGAATGTAAGACAGTGCATATGTTCATTTGGTTGCTTGCATATAACATGGATATATTTAGATCACGGACAGAACTGATTGATAGAACAACAGAATATCTAGGAAACTAAAAATTGTTAATCATGGATACATATATATCCTTAACATACTCAAGCGGCTCCCATTATTGGTATCAAACCAATACCGATTCATATCGTATTATCATACCGTTGTCACGTTTAAGTTCTTTACAAGTACGGATAATTACAGCTCTGACCACTTCTGATCTTTCTAGAGGCATGTTTGGAACTGCGTCTTTGATCACAGCAACAATAACGTCACCAATATGAGCATATCGGCGATTGCTAGCTCCTATGATTCGAATACACATCAATTCTCGAGCCCCGCTGTTATCTGCTACATTCAAATGGGTCTGAGGTTGAATCATATCATTTTTTTATCTGTTTTTTACAATACAAAGGTCGAAGAAAAAAAGAAATATTGTTTGTCCAAAAAAAGAAACCCGCACCCGCTATTTTTTTTACCCAAGGCCTATTTCTTTTTTATCCCGAAATGATGAATTGAGCTCGTATAGGCATTTTGGACGCTGCTATTGAAATAGCCCTTCTGGCTATATTTTCTGTTACTCCACCCATTTCATAAAGTATTCGACCTGGTTTAACAACAGCTACCCAATATTCGGGAGAGCCTTTACCTGAACCCATACGTGTTTCTGCGGGTCTTACTGTAACTGGTTTATCTGGAAATATACGGACCCATATTTTTCCACCGCGACGTGCATTTCGTGTCATTGCTCGTCGACCTGATTCTATTTGTCTAGAGGTGATCCAAGCGGGTTCAAGTGCCTGAAGAGGATCAAAACCCTCCACACCCCACGATGGATTTACAGCTTGTACTTTTCCTGTTAGTCCATAAGGATCGGACACCCATATGCCAGGACCATACAAACCTGTAGATACAAAATTATCTATTTTTGAAACCGGAATTAAAGTAGTAGATCTGGACCAAAAGGAAAGGCCAGTTCTGATGCTCCTCCTGCCTCTGATCCTAACGAGGCTACTTGCTTTTACTGCCATGACAGGGGGCATTGGAAACGAAGCTGCCCCAAGTACTTGCAAGACATAAAGGATTCAATGTTAAGCCAACCTCGACAAGTATTTACACTATCCTATCTAAAAACTCATCACGTTTAAATTCTTGGGTTCTTGATACAAGATGTGGTTTTCACATTTGTTCTGACTTGCAGGAACTAAAAAGAAGTGAGGATGTGGAGCATGGGAAGATGAACCTGATTATGGGCAATAGGAGATCGTCACTTGTTACCAAGATTGGTGTTTATTCTTTAATGCTTAGTAGTGGGTTATGTTTAGATTTGAACAATTGTTTCTATTCGTCAGAAATGACAAGAAATATTATTTCATTTCATGGTTTATACAGACAAGGTTTTAGATATTATTTTGATAATGAGAATGGTTCTATTTATGCTTATAAAAATGGTGTATTTTATTTTGAAGAATTACCTTGTGATGGCATGTATGAAATTGTGATGGTTGTAGACAATTTAGGTAATAATGTTTTGCATATTAATTCGTCTAATGGTTTAGACAAAGCATGCTTGTGGCATTGTCGGTTTGGACATGTCAACAAGAAGTGCATTGCCCAACTCCGAAAGGATGGAGTGTTGGAATCATTTGACTTAAGTTCAGATGATACATGTGAATCTTGTTTACTTGGAAAGATTACTAAATCACCTTTCACTTGTTCTTATGAAAGAGGTGAAGGATTATTGGATCTCATACACACAGATGTGTGTGGGTTTTTTCAGATCCACCGCAAGGGATGCAAATCGATTCTATGTAACTGATATGTGCATATTTAACTATATATTTAGTATAGATTTTCATTAATTGTTAGCTAATTATTTACATATTATGGACAAAAGGTACTTAATAGTGTTCAAATTGTATTTTCAGTCCAAATGATATGCTCGGAAGCAAAAGGAAGCAGGAGAAGCAGTTGGAAGTTCGGGAGTTGAAACAAAGAAGAAAATGCCAAAAACAAGAAGGACTCGGCGAGTCAAAGCCTGACTCGATGAGTTGGATCGAAGATTCGTGAAGCTCTAGAAGTCCTTGCCGAACACGGATTTTTAATGAGGGACTCGACGAGTTGGGACCTTGACTCGACGAGTCACCTATGTTTTCAGAAAAATATAAATAGGGACTTTGAGATCGAGATGGGGACTTCTCTGGAACCCTAGGAGGCTCAGATTGCGATTGAAGGTACTGCTAGACCGAGAGAAGCTGAGGAATCAACCCTAAGTTCGATTTTGAAGAGGATTAAGGCAAATTCTAATTCATTCTTAGTTAAGCTTTTGATTGAATCATGTTCGAACCAATTGAATTCGTTTTTGAGTTTGTTTTTACTGCAATTATGAACTAAAACCTTTATCTTCTGTTTAGGGTAGATGATTTTGTGAATATGGAGTGATTTTATGGTTAGGATTAATTTTAATTGGTGATATTGTTTTGTTAAGCTTGTTAAAGAACCTCATATATTAATAACAACTATTTTCTGTTAATAAATCAGTAATTAAGTTGTATGAACATATCTTAGTTATCAATTTCATATGATTTATGTGACCACATAGTTATATGTCTAGGAATAACGAATGTGAAACTAGAATTAACTAGAAGATAGGTAAGTTAATACGTGAACTTGTGTGATACACCATCAACAAGAGGTTAATTGAATCACTAATTCAATTAACCATTACAAGTCTTACTTAACCCGAATTAATTAACTAGGGAACTTATTAATTTAGACAACTGGCCACTGCTTGAATTAATCTGTTTTCTAAGGATTAGCAATAACGAACGTGAACCTAATCATCTCAATCGGTAGCCAATGAAAAGTTAATCCGATATATTTACCATAAAATCAACCATAGGATCAATTGATTCGAACCTAAACAGAAGTCCTTATATTTACCATAAAATCATTGAATTTAGTTGCAATTTAATTGTTTAGCTGTTAGTTGCTTAATTAAGTGTTAGTTAAGTCTTAGTTAAGTTTCTAGTCTTGTAAAACTAGAGAAACCCCTTCTATTTAAATATTTATTTTAGATAATATTAGTAATTAGTTTGATTTGTGTTCCCTGAGTTCGATACCCTACTTATTTAACTATACCACAATTGATAGGTCCACTGCCTTTGTGTGTTAAATTTACATTTGAAAAGTAGGATTAAAACTAGTTGGTTTCACACACATCAAAGGTTCTGCTATGGTTGTGTTCGGTCGCCTTGGGAAGGTCGTGTGTGTTCGGGGTTGTGGTTGTATTCTTCAGGTTGTGTGGGCGCCTGGGATGGTAAGGAACGATTTCGAGGACGAAATCTAATTCAAGTGGGGGAGAGTTGTAACATCCGTAATCTTGAGGAGCAATTGTAAGGAATGAATTCCATTTTGAGGACTGGACACGGCGTGTTGGAGGAACCAACACGACGTGTCTAGTTAAGGAAAAGTGCGGTTCTCATTAAGGTCAACACGACGTGTTGATGTATAAACACGACGTGTTGGAAGCTGGGAAGGAAACCCTGATTTTTAGGATGTTGCACCCTATATAATCTAATTAAGCCCCAAGGGATGGTCTCCTTACCAGCCTCCATTAACATTAAAACCCTAAAATCGATCTTTAAGTCTCTTGTTGGTCTCCTTACCGTCAATGTTTTGCGTGCATGTTGGTTGATAATGTACCAGGTCGTAAGACGGTTCGGTGCAAATGGATCTTCAAGAAGAAGACCGACATGGATGGAAAGGTACACACGTTCAAGGCTAGACTAGTTGCGAAGGGCTTTACTCAAACCCCAGGGGTTGACTATGATGAGACCTTCTCACCAGTGATTAAGATTAAATCTATTAGGGTTATGCTAGCCATAGTTGCGTTTCATGATTATGAAATTTGGCAGATGGATGATAAAACAGATTTCCTTAATGGAAAGTTGGTTGAGGATGTTTACATGAGTCAGCGAGAGGGTTTTGTGGGTGCTAAGTACCCATATAAAGTGTGTAAGCTTGATAAATCGATTTATGGATTGAAACAAGCTTCTCACAGATGGAATCTTTGCTTTGACGAGAAAGTTAAAGAGTTTGGCTCCTCTAGAAGTGAAGATGAATCTTGTGTGTATGTCAAAGCTAGTGGGAGTATAGTCACCTTCCTGGTGTTGTATGTTTATGACATACTACTCATAGGAAACGACATTCCAACCTCGCAAGAGGTTAAGTCTTGGCTTGGAAAGTGTTTCGCTATGAAGGATCTGGGAGAGGCTGCTTATATTCTGGGAATAAGGATTTTGAGAAATAGGAGTAGAAGACTAATTGGACTTGGTCAAAGCACATATTTGGATACGGTGCTGAAGCGTTTTAGTATGGAAAATTCCAAGAAAGGAGAGTTGTCTATCCAAAGTAATACCAAACCGAGTAAGACTCAGAGTCTGAGTACTGATGTAGAGATAGAAGAAATGAGTCGAATTCCATATGCTTCCGCCGTTGGATCGATTAGATATGCTATGACATGTACTCGCCGTAACGTGGCTTTTGCTTTAAGCATGGTTAGTCGATATCAATGAAATCCGGGTAAAGCTCATTGGATAGCAGTCAAAAACATTCTTAAGTATCTACGAAGAACTGGGTCCTTGTGCTTGGTGGCAGTGATGACTTAAGAGTTACTGGGTATAATGACGCCAACGTTCAGACAGACAGAGACAACTTCCGTTCTCAATACGGTTGGGTGTTTACCCTTAATGGAGGAGCTGTAACTTGGAAAAGTTCCAAGAAGGAGACCGTGGCTGATTCTACATGTGAATCAGAGTATGTAGTTGTGAACGAAGCATCGAAGGAGGCTATATGTTTGAAGAACATCATTGGAGACCTTATAGTTGTGCCATCCATTAAGAAGCCGATGGATATTTTATGCGATAATGAATGAGCGGTTTCCTTGACCAAGGAACCAAGAGATCATGACAGATCTAGACATATCGACAGAAAATATCACTTCATCAGACATAGGGTAGAAGAAGGAAACCTCATCGTAAAGAGGGTATCATCCGAAGAGAATCCTGTCGATCCTCTCACAAAGGGTCTGAGAAGAGTTAAGCACGTTTAGCGTGCGATGAGCATTGGTCTGAAGGGTGATATTAGTTTTAGTGATTAGATAGATATTTAGAAACTTGTGACAAATAAATGTAATTGAAATTTGATGATTAAATAATGGAGATTTATTTATGAGTATCCTTTACTATTTTTTTGTCAATTGTTTATCATTGTGTTTCACTTTTGCATGTTTTACTTCCCAAATAATTAGATTATTCAAATATCCACAATCGATCATACTTTGGAAGTAAGTAGTGAATTAAGGTTGTCATGAATTGGGTTGTAGATTGTCTAACGGATTAGACATTGTAACACCCCGTTTAATAAATAAATAAATTAACGAATGTATAGTAGCCTTAAAATCAATAATTATATAGCAAGGTGTTGGTCTCGAGAAGCTAATTATCACAATTTTAGAGATTGGGGGTTAAAAGTGTAAAATCCGGATTCAGTTTGTAAATAATTATGAAGGGAGGGGCTCCGTGGTAATTATGGGAACTTAAGTTGAAAGGATTTGTAGAGGGAGGGGCTGTTTAGTAAAAATTCGGACTCAATTTGTAAAGGATTTCAGAAGGTGGGGTTTAAATGGTAAATTTTGGTCTAAGATTGAAAGAAAAAGGGAAGGATTTCAGAAGGTGTTGTCATTATTGCAAACTTTTAGAATGGAGACGGGTATTTAAAGGTTCCGCAAACCCTAACCCTAATCAACCATCTACAGCCGCCACATCTCCACCCTTATACCTCCCTTCCACCTTTGGCGCCGCCAGTCATCGAAATGCCACCACCGGACGTCGTGAACAGCCGAAAGAGAACCACCGGAGTCGGAGCTTTGAACGCGGATGCATGGGTGAAGAACGACAGGAGCCGGTGATTCGTTCTTTCTCGTGCTCCGTCGCCGCCATTCCTCTCCTACTCTTTCTCTGGCCGCTATCATAGAGCCTCAGTCGCCGCTGCCGTTCAAGACTCTCCAACCGGCGTTGCCTGGTTCCGTTGAAGACAAAGCTGCCGTCGGGCGTTAGGCTCTTGTTGCTACTATGAAGTGCTGCTTTATCGCCACCATCAGCCGCTATCTCCGGACAATGGCGCCGCTGCTGCTATTTCCTTTGAAAACGAGCGTTGCTGGTTTGTGGGTTTTCTGTTTGCTAATGTGTGTTGCTGCGTGATTGGGAACCGAAAGGAACCACCGCCACCACCGTGAGGTGGTGGCTACCACCATATGCCACCGCCAGCCACCGCAAGGGTGGTTGTGTGTGTTTATTTTAGTGAGTGAGTGTGTGTGTCCATTTGGTATTTTCATTATAATACTGTAACCGAAGCTAGAATAATAAAATGAAACTCAAAACCACCACCGTAGGGTGGTGGCTACCGCCACCAGTCGCCGTGTTGGCTGGCAGTGTGCTAGTTGTATTTGATTCGTTTGGGATGCTTGGACAAGTGGAATAGAAACCCTAACCACCACCGTGAGGTGGTGGCCGCCGCCGTGAGCCGCCATTGACCACCACTACCAGAGGTGGTAGTGGGTGGTGCCCGACTAGCGAAACCCTAATGGGCCTGGTGAAACCCTAATGGGTCTATTGAAACCCTAATTGACCTAAAGATTTATTTTTGGGCATATTGGGCTATGATTGGGTTGGAAACCCTTATTAGGGTTTAGAAAACCCTAATTAGGCTTTAGAAAACCCTAATTTTGGAATCATGGGCTTGGACTTATCGGGACCTGCATTTTGGGCCATTGGAATTGGACTATGTATTAAGCCCGATTACACCACATGATTTATCTAGTAGAGTAATGGACTTAATGGATTAAGTCCTTTATGGGTTAAGTGAGAAACACTTAACCCTAATCGTCATTTTATATGAAAACCCTAATTTCACTTGGGCCTTGAGTTGGGCCTTTCCTTTGGGCTTTGGTGATTGGTCTAATAATGGGCCATTCAAGAACAACTTTATGGACTAATAATATATAAATGGGCTTAAGGGTAAGGCCCATATGAGGGGTTAGGCCCAATTTGGAAAATTGGGCCATAGATGGGCCATATCTGGGCCTTGATGATTATGAGATGTTGGACCATTGTAATGCCACATGTGTTGGATTGGACTAATTGTTTGGGCCTTAGGGAAGACCATGTAGAGGGTTGGGCCCAATTTGGAAAATTGGGCCATATGTTGGGCTTTAACTCATAGTTGACTTTTGGGCCTTTGGATTGGGCCTTGGGCTTGAGTAAAGCTAAGTTAGGGGTAAAGTAGTATTTACCCCAAGTTTGTACTTATGGTTATGTGTTGGAACCCAATTATTAATTGGGTGTTATTTTGAGGTTGACAGATCGGGAATCTGTCATCCAGCAGCTAGAGTTTTCGTCTGCGGGACTTCAGCAGTGTGATGTGAGTTACCTTCCAGTAGAAGTGGGTCTAAGGCCACAATTTCGGCCCACTAGTAGGAGTTGTTTGTTGATGATTTTCTTTGTGATAATTATCTGGTATGTCATTATCTGTTATGTTTGTGTGTTAGGATGCTATGTGATACATGTTAGTAGTAGTAGGGTGAAATAGTCTCGGATACCGGTTGAAAGATACCGAAGGGGTCGTTAGAACCCATGCATGCCTAGCAGTACGTTATGTTACGTTATTATGTGGTAGTGGTAGGGGTGGAATAGTCCCCGGTTACCGGTTGAAAGTTACCGAAGGGGAGGTCAGCTCCCGGATACCGGTTGAAAGATACCGAAGGGGTAGGCCGGGCACCCAGATATGCCTGACAGTATATTTATGTATTTTATGCTATGTTATTATGTGGTAGTGGTAGGGGTGAAATCGTCCCCGTTATCCGGTTGAAACAGACCGAAGGGGAGGCCAACACCCAGATATGTTAGGCAGTTATCTGGTTGAAAGAGACTGATGGGGAGGCCAGCACCCAGATATGCTAGGTAACTATCCGGTTGAAATAGACCGAACGGGACGCCGACACCCAGATATGCTTGGTTATGTATGTTACTATATGGTATGTGGTATGATGGGGTAACTCACTAAGCTTCGTGCTTACGGTTTTCAGTTTTGGTTTCAGGTACTTCGTTTTCAAAGGAAAGGAGTCGACTCGATCGTAGCACATCACACGATGTTTTCCGCACATGAAATCTTTGGGATTACACTCTGATATTATTTCATGATAACATGTTTGACTATTGACACTTTGGTTTTGACATGAGATGTTATTATGAATGTTTTATTACTTATGGTTTTATAATAACTTATTTAAAAATGAAATTTTTGGCCTTGAATTTTGGGATGTTACAGACTTAGCAATGGGTTGCTGCAACATTCATGAGTACTTGAAAATAGGGATTTTAAGTATCAGATTAACCCACGTTCAAAGAATTACTTCATGGAATTTATCACAAGTAATTCTGAGACGATAATATTGTATAATATTTAAACGAAGATATATGAGTTGTTGTTTACGATTTGGTTGTGCATTGATAATGCGTAAACACATCAGTAACTTGATGTTATAAAACGTATTATTGTGCATGATTTGATGAGTAAATAGTGCAAGCATATAAGTCAAAGTTTATTTGTTCCTTTTGCCCTAACGGAAAAAGCGATATCTTTGGCCCCTCGATGATTTGGTGTTGACTTGTGTGTCGGGCCCGTTCAAGACTTAATTGATGTGTTCAATTGTAGTTTTCTTGTCATTACAAATCAGAAATCGGGAAACAAACTGTTGGACAATGAGAATGACCATGTTCCATGTCATTTGTCCACATGATATCTTGCAGAACGGAGTATTATATGATCACTTATCTTAGGACACACTACTGACTAGGTCAGAGTTCGACAACGGCTTTGAGAGCTACAATTTGCTAGTCAATTTTGGAGTTATACTTGCAATCATAGTTATTAGACTTATCCAAGTGGGAGACTGTTGGATTAGGTGTCTAAACCCATAAATTGGTATGTACTTGAATTGATAGTAGCACGGTCCTTTTGGGTTGCCTTCATACTAGCAACTAGACATGATGACCTATTGAGAAAGAGGAAGAATTTATTATTTGGAATATCAAATTAATATATAAAATGATTTATTAATGTATTATGAAAATAATACATTAATTAGAAATCATGTTATTTAATTAATATTTAATCAAAAAAAAATTTGGAATTAATTTTAGGATTAAAGGAATTAATTAAAAGTTCAGAAGCTTATTAGCAATTAATTAATAGTTGTGATTTTGGGCTCTTGGACCACCCTAGAAGGGTTGGATGAAAACTTCTTGGGAGGCCTTAGAATTTTCGTCCAAGGCCTTAGGGATGGGGAGTCCATGGGCTGCTTAGGCCTTAAGTTGGAAATTAGGGTTTCCTCCAGCAAACCCTAGCTTTGGCTCTAAGCAACCAACAACTATTTGAATATCCTCAACCCAATGGATTTCGACTATGCCATCAAACCCTAAGGATAGCCAAAATCTTGAAACATCTTCCTCATCTCTCCTCTCATGCTCTTGCATAGTGTGTTTATGAGCCATTAGAGGTGTTACACTTGTAACACTTGTTTTCAAAGCTCAAGATCTTCAAGGAATCCATTGTTATTACAACATAATAATAAAGATATGTATTCTAACCCTTGGTTTGTCAATTTCGAAAATTCTAGTTGCCTCTTAGGGTTTCTTGTTTTGTGTTAAATGTTTGTATGTCTAATAAAGAAAACATAGATCCAATATATTAGGGTTGCATGCGCACATAGGATTATTTGCTATGCTCAAAACCCATCACGTTATGCGAGTGTGGGCGGGGCCCGTTACACTCATTGGGCGGGGCCCGTTGATTCACAGATCTGTATGCCAGACGGGGTCCGATGTCGGGCGGGGCCCGATGACCAGGGTGGGAACCGATGACCAGGGTGGGGCCCGATGACCGGGCGGGGCCCATTATATGTTTATTTGTGTATGTATGGTATGTGGTATATTGGGGAACTCACTAAGATTTATGCTTACAGTTTTCAGTTTATGTTTCAGGTACTTCGGTTTTCAAATGGAAGAGCTGGGGATGATTGCAGAGCACACACCACATGTTTCCGCATTCTGTGATTTATCTGATTTGATGATGTTTTGATAAACATCAATTAACTTGGTTTTATGGAAATTTTATGTATTAACGATTTATTAATCTAAAAACAAAAAATTTATGTCATTATTTTAGGACGTTACAAGTTGGTATCGGAGCCTTGGTTTGAGGGATTCAGACATACTCTCGGTGTGTATAAACTCAAACTGAGGATTTGGTTAAGTTTTCAAAAAGAAAATTGTTTTTAACAAAATAGTTTATAAGATAAGAAAGAGTGTGTGCATTGAATCAGCCGAGCTCAAGTAAGTTTTTCCCAAATTACCCATACATGTTATATGATATGATTTGATTTATGAACTTGTCAATCGCATGCTAGTAGGGCTAAGGATCTGCTCAGTTTTGCATGGTAGAATGCTAGGAGAGATGCCTTTGTATGCCTATTGTATGAGCTTGTAGACCTGCATGCTAGTTCTGATTAGCCAGTGATAGGTTGGCCTGTTATGTGACGCCTGGTAGTCTAGGAAGCATGGGATGTTGGGTTGTGTATAATTTGTATGCGTAAAGCAATCAGTAGCGGGAGTGGGAGCTCCTAGTATGAATGGTAGTATGTGGAATTGGATGCTCGTGATTATTCTATGGATTGGAGTGCTACTGCACGAATGTTGCTTGCTGTGTGCTTTTTGGAACTCTTAGGTGATGGGAGTTAGCTACTAAGTTAATATGTCAAGTCATATGTGAAAAAGGTTGAATAATCTTAGAGTGATGGATTTGACCCTATTGCGCAACTTTTGTCTGAGTCCAACCGTTGTAGGTATGAGTCTGTTACTCGAAGGATTATCCAAGCCTTGTTGTATGTGATTGTATTCATGAGGTGGGTGACTG